TCATTTCATTCTGTTTTTTTGTAGCTGTTATGTGACAACAATTGCTGCTCTAGCAGCTGAGAGAATTAGCTATTTGGCAAAGCTTCATTAAGTTTATTTTTGAGGGAAAGTGGCTGTAAATTGGTGCCACGAATGAAGGGCTCTTTCTCTTCTGAAAGGGATAAAGCCTACAGCTCACTCTCTCCAACCTGCATTTCATCCTCCACAAAAGTTTTAGCACGTCCCTACTAATGAAGGAGAAAAAGGTCATGATTAATAGCTTAAATTATATCAAGGTGAAGTAAACATGGTAAAGTATCATGGGTAGAGTTACCTCTTTACTTTAAAAAAAGAAAACCATGAAAAACCTCTCAGCAAGTTTATTGGACTCTGTCCAATTCTTACATTAACATTTTAAAGCAAAAACTGAACATGTGGAAGATGTTTAGGTTACCCTCCTAAGTTAAATGGGGTGGCTTTACAGTTAGCTAAACAAATTCATGAGCAGCACTAGACATTTCTTTTAACATCCTGGGGTAACTTGAACACGGGACAACTGATCAAGGAGAAGAAAATCTGAAATCTCCAGATCTCCTATTGGCCTCAGCAGCCATCCTGCTTTTCTGTGTAATCCTTAAGGTTATATAGGCTGTGCAGCTGCGTAGCATAAGTTAGCCCTTCATAACCATCCACAGCACAGGAAAGCTGTTAAGAGAACGTAAAGAAAGCTTAAATGACCAAGCAGAATTTACATGCATCAGTAAAATGCAAAAGAATCAGGGAGGGTAATTCAGGGAACCTCCTTTTATCATAAATCGCAGATGCTTGGGAAGTAGCAAGTGAATTCTGCTTGGAAGCAGTTGTGCAGAGCTCCTTTTACTGTCTGTTAAAACCATATCACCTCTTTTGAGAGCAAGGCTAGGTTTGCACATGAAGCAAAGGTTGCTAAGTTTCCTTTAAAACAAAGAATAACAACATGTTCTCTGCACAGTTACTGTAATTCCTGTGAACAGCAGTAATTTTCAGAGAATTTGAAAACTAAATCTGCTAATAAGCTTAGGAATTAATATTAATTAAACACAAGTTCTTTCAGAAATTGTGCAAAACCCACAAGACTTACAATTTTTCCCTTTTGATTCCAACAGTCTATTATTCAAACTACCCACATCAGACTGTGCTTTTGCTTTTGCTTTGTTATAATACTGTGCCTTAAGTCAGAATTCTTATTTCTGCTAAAACCAGCGCTCTTGACAGATGCCAAAGAAGCGAACAGCCTCCTCCCAAATTACAGTGTGCAGAACAGCCATCTATTCCATATTCTTCCACATCTCCCAGTCTCAGTAGGAACAAAACCACTCCAAAACCTCTTCTCATTTAATAACCATCTTGAAAACCTCTCTCTTGTTGACCTCTGTGACCCAACTATGCATGTACATATCTTGCACAGTTTAGATGTGCGTTAGTTACAGCAATTACAATTTAAGGCTAGGGAAGAGGAAAGATTTGTCTGGAGAAGTTTGATTAGATGGGTACATCTGGAAAAACCTGGACAGACTCTCCAATCCAGGTGCTCAACAGGTGAGGTGAATTTTCTGCTTTTATTACACTAGAGCCCCACACTTGCACAGCATCCCGGAAAGCAATATCACTAAGGATATTGCTGCATACTGCCAGTACTGTCTCAAGATGAATGTTAAGACCTTGAAACCTTCTAGTAATTTACAAACTGGTGCTCTCATAATACATTTAAACTTGATTTGACTGCAATGTCATAATCCAATTTCTGCAAGGGATGGGTATTTTTAAACTCCCTTTAAATTCATCAGAAATACTGAGAATTAAAATTATGTAGTGTCAAACCAACAGCTGCAGAAAACCGAGTCTGCTGCAACACGCTATATATAGTTTCATGCAACCTCGTTTAGAATCCCCAGCCCAGGACAGCATCTGTGTCACTCACACGTCTTTCCTCTATCTGTAGCAGAGCAGCCGTTGGAGAAGTGAGAGCTGTAAGACCTACAGAGCTCAAGGGTTCTTTTCTTAGGCTTTGTAAATTAACGCGAAGTGCAGCACTAGAACACAGAGTCACAGTGGAGTCTCCCACGAGTCCTGCCTGTCAAGGTATGGAAATGGATTGGCTGATTTATGTATTTGCTGACTTCTCCTCCGAGCCTTCAGCAGCAAGTATGAATAGTGGTTCAGCACTTCAGACACAAAATTGTCACTTGGGTGCAAGTTATGTTTCCACCTTATTATACACTATTTTTTTTCTCTGACTGTGTTCCTTCTATGTCCCACTGAAAACCTCTTATACTGGACACAGAAACACTGCCAGAGTTTGAGGAGATCAAAGTGTTGGATACAAATTAGTCTGCCACTAATGCAGAAAACAGGCTTTACACAATAGTTGCTCACAACCGTGTCATCCTGCTGCCTTCATCTGGCCTGGAGAACATCAGCCTATCCAGACGGAAAAAAACAGCCTGTGATCTCTGTCAGGAATGTGCTAGCAACAGCACCTTTTGTGGCAGGTGTCTTTCGGAAGAGAACAGACCAAGACTGGTGGGATTCCTTTGCACAGGTCTTCAGATATCTCTTAGGTAGCATGAACTCATTAGCCTGTAATTTGCTTCCTTGTCTGTTTGGTTTGTTGCTGTTGTGACACCCCAGCTGTTAAAACCAGATTCAGATCACCTGAACTTCCTGGGCCATAGCTTCTCCTTCTGTTTAGCAGATAGCGACCTGTCTTTATTGTGCACTTAGGGACATATGAATGAAAGCAGTACATAGGAGCCAATCATTATTGTAGCTCCTAATAATAACCCTTGAGCTGGATAAGTCTCTCAGGTAAAATAATTCTGTGTGACTAAGCAAATCTTTCAAATCCTTCCAAATCTCAACCTGAACTTTACAATCCAGATGATAAAGGCAGAGAAGAAAAGATGGGGGCAATGGATAATTTCCTATTCGCTGGAAACAGAACCTGTTCCAAAAGGAAAAAATGTACAAGACACAGACCCCTGGCAGCAGGTATCTGCTACGTGACACAACTCTGCCAGAACAGTGTTGCCTTTCCATTCAAAATAATTCCATTTGCATTAAAAGTTTGATTCTGAGACCTTTTATTTATCTCAACAGTTAGATCTGTAGCAAGGAGAAAAACAGTACTCACTAAATGATAATCAACCATTCCCTCCTCTGAACATTCCTCTGAATTTAGTTGTTGGGTCTTCTCTGGGGTTCTGAAAGATTTCAATGAAGGTTTCACCCTCCCAGTAAGTGGAAACAAGGTGATTTTATCTGTATTTTCAGAATGTTCAAGTCTCCCCTCATTTCCTTTTCACACTTCTTTAAGCAGCATAGAAAGCAACTGGTCCTTGACTCAGAGATGGCAGCTATGCAAGAACAAGCTTCTAAAGTATACTACAGAAACAGTACTCAAGTAACCCATTTCCTACTCCAGAAATAGGAGCACTGTGCTTTCCACCAGAATTATAAGTGTAAAGAATTTGCACGGGTCAGAGACAATTAACACCATGCCACTACTGAGTGCAAGGCACTTGGGATGATGGTGTATTTTTGCAAGGCTGTATTGCTATCCTCGAAACCACACCAAGATAAACTCTAATGTAGATTAGATTACAGCACATGCGTAGAAGGTAATGCACGAGCTTTGGCCAGTAAAAGAAGTATCTAAAAGCAGTGACAAAAGCTGTCTGTTTAGAACAGCAAAGTACTGGCCAGAAGGACCCCGTGCTTCTCCACCCTCACTGTATGATGGTGGTTTGCTTGCTGGTGTCCCACTGTAAGACCTGAAAAATTCTGAAGTGAAGGAATTGATTCTCAGTGACTTCAAAAACAAGCCAGGCTTTTTGCTTACTGTAGCTTTTGTCTCAGGACTCCACATGCATGCAGTCAGATTAAGCTCTACATCAAGAACAACCTTCAAACCAATTTTGTTTCAAAGCTAAAATAGATCATTCTTACTTTCTTTTCTTTTTTGGTCAAAGAAGGAACTGACTGCTCATACAGCAAACAATTCAGAAAAAGCCACTTCATATCAGGACACATTCAGCTCACAATTAAAAGTATTTTATGTATAAGATGCAGTAACTCAGAATGACACAGACCCAAGGTAAAACAGTCTCTTAGTTGGGACAGAATTTTGTGATATTTAAGAGATAGTAGTCATCATTGAATCTTCATATTAATTGGTCCCTATTCCCTGCTTAACTGTAACATTATTTAACAACTTGAATCCCTAATTAAGTTCATCATCCCAGTGGAATTTTTAAAAGAGGCTTAATTCTCTGCAAAAGAAACGGAGACATTGCTGTGTGCCTAGCAGGGCAACAAATCATTGACTCAGCAACAGGCAGCTGAAGGCAGATTGTTTTTAATCTCTTAATCCGTAATATGTGCATATGCTGAAGGATAGTCTTTCTTACCCCGGTGTACGGCACAACACACGTGTTTTTTGCACACAACACTTCATGATGAAAGAATAAACTTCATCTGGTTATAAAAAGAGTACAGTACAGATCATTTAGATCCAACTTTTTGGAAAACCTATATTCAGATACAAACAGGCTTTTGTTTATGCCACGTACTATTACCAAAGAATACAAGAGCTAATACTTGCTTTTTTATGCGACTCACAGTAACACGTAACGCATGGCCTAGCATCTGACAGTAATGCCCGCTGTGCTGTACTTGTGTTATGACATTTAGAACAAGTGCATTTTGTTGATGAGGTTTTTGCAAAAAGAAACTGAAATTCCACAAAAATTACTTCAAATTTTGGTACTTAAAATTATACTCTGGTCTTACCTCCCCCATTATTCCATGCACGTCCAACACTTCAACATTTTATCTAGGCCACAAAACTTACAAATCAGTTATATCAGGTAATCTAGACCTGAAAATTGCTTTCTTCAAACAGAAACGACTGACAGAAAATAGCATAACTGGTCACATGTGTGGAGTCAATATTTATGGCTTCAAAAAAAAAAAGCTCTTACCTTGAGAAACAAGGCTCCCTTGGAAGCCAAGGAGTCCGTTCCTCTTCCATTGGGATAACAGTGATAGGCAGCATCCATAACAGGATAGCGGCTGGCAAAAAGCAGACCACTGTTCACAAACTTAAAGCTACAGCAGGCATGGCAACCGTAGACCCCAACATCATAGACAATGTATTCAAAATAGTGATGAAGCTGCTCTTTCAATTTCTCTGCAGCTCTTTTGTCAAACACTTCCTGCAAACACAGAAAGTCCAAGTTGGCAGGGAAGAAAGCAGAGATCTCATGATCAAAGGTCTCATCCATATGTTTCTTTTTCCGTACTGAAGTCTTCTTCATGATTGAAGCTTTATAGAGGAGCTTGTTGTTAACAGTGCTTTGGTCCACCGTCCCATCTCCAACACGAACCTTAACTAGTGACTCTCTTGAGGCAGAGTAGCTGTCTAAACTGCCAGAATCTCCATCCTTCTGTTTGTGGTTAGGCGTTTTTGAGATCTCCGTGTCGCCTTCCAGCGAGTGTTCTGCTGTGCCGCTAGCATTAGCCTGGCCATTGACAATGTCTGTTTCTATGTCTGACATGTGGCCGTTGTCCTCTCCATTTATGCGGACAATGCAAGTATTTTCCTCTCCTTCATTTGGCTCTCCAGATCCAGCTTTATCATCCCTACCATCCTCACTGTTGTTGGAGCCAGAATTGTCTCCTTTGTACTCCATTGATGTTGTCCTTTTCATGCCGGTGTTAACAGTGCGGTTAGTGCTATCTCCACCCTGGGGGGACACCAGGCTGCTGAAACTCGCTGCACTTATGGATGTGTTGGTAGGAGAATCTATATATATCTTGATCTGTGGTCTGCTTGCCCCATTTCGGATCCTCCGGCCAATCTCTTTAGCCCTAGCCTGTGTGTTGAAAACATTATTAAATCTCGCCAGAGAATCTGGCAGCAGGCAAACATTGGCACTGCCAAAGCAAAAGCTTTTCCCATTCCCTGCAGCCTTCCACTCACTGAGCAGCGCGGCTCCGTTGGCATGGCTCTTGTCTTTTAGTCTGGAGTAGATATATGGCCTTCTGGCTGACTGGAGAGGGGACCATAACAAGAAGCCTATCAGAGCAAAAGGAAGAGAGGCCACCAGCAGCGCCAGGTAGATGGGAGTGGTGATAATGATGCAGAGTGCATGGAAATAGCATGGATCGTCTGCTCTTTGACGTTTTTCATAGGTAGTTGGAACTAAAGAGGCCACAAGCCTATCTGCAAACCAGTAACATGGGAAAATTAGGCCCCAGGAAAAGGAATGCAGAACTGACAGAAAGCTGTTGGGAAATGGGGAAGTATATAAAACCATTGCAACTTAGTTATGACAACAATTCAGGGCCTACTACATGGTGTCTCTGTGTCAAGCATCCATAGCAACACTGGGAGAGGTTTGGGGAACAAAAGGTCCAGTCAGAAGTTTGTTTTTTCCAGTAAGAGTCAATAACAAAACTGTAAGAGCACCATTTCACTGTGTTGGAGTAGAAAGAAAAGAAGGCCACGGTTTCTGTTTGGCTTTTTGGCATCTGTATTTGTCAAAGCATGTCATTGTTCACTGCACGCTGCCATAACGAAATGCTCCAGAGACAAAAAGAAAATCTGTAAGAACAAGAGACATAATACATATGTAACAGTTACTAAAAGTTTAAAGCAAATTTTCTCATACTGGTATCCCTCACAGTCTAAATTATTTCCCTTTTTTATTTAATTTAGAATTTCCAGGTCAGTTACAGACCATGGATGTAGAACAACTCCAACCACGAGAGACTGGTATTTCTGTAAATTATGAGAGATGCTCTTAAAGTAATGCTTCCTGTTTTATTATATTGGCCCAGGATGCCAGAGGCAGATATTGGTACTTCAGTAGAAGTTGAACCCTCCCACCAGTACTCTTTTACACTTTGCCGCCATGAGACAGATGGCACAGAGGGGCAGTACGATAAAATGGCTTCTGATGTAAAAACGCACATGAAGTAACAGTGAGGAGCTGAATTCCTCAGTGCAGAAAAAGTGACACCACTGACATTTCATTGATGCTCGCTAAGCATTCCTGGGAGTGAACGGTGGATGTGAGCACAGCAAGGCAGTGGGTGGTGCATTTCAGCAGGGGCAACAGCAACGGTGACCACCTCTGATGGTGCACACTTTTAGGCTCTTGTTCATTGCTGGCAAAAATGAACAGCTACTGGCAGTAACTATTTTGTAAAGTCGTGTCTTGTGGTTGAGACTCTGCTCTATCACACGGTGTTACTGTGCTCGTTGTATCTGTTGTGGTTTCCATGGAAATAAATAGGAGGCATTACTTTTGGAGTGACCTATGTATTTCAGTACATAGGAAAAATGTAACCTATGTATTTCAGTACACTGATCACGCACAGGACTCATGCTGTCATAGAGGACATAGATTTCTACTCCAAATCTAAGCCTTGAATTGAAATATATACTTTGGAGTGTATTTCATCCACTCACGTTAATATTCATTTATTGATATCAGCTGCCTTCAAATCCTTACCAGCAGTGTGGAGCAGCTGTCTCTGGGCAGCTCGTGTTTCATCACTGAAGTTAAACTTACATAAATTGCCAGAGTTCTTGGGGAAAAAATGCATTCAAGAGCAAAAGCTACAACTGCTATGAAATGGTTTGCTTTGCTGCACTTCACAACAAAATGGTTTGACTGAATTGTAACACTTCATACAATTGAGTATGGTTTCAAATGTTTAACATTCAGCGTAGTAAAAGCAGTCAAACTACTTTGCTTTAATACCTAGGTATTGTACTCTCACTGTATGTTTAGAACTACAGTTCAGCATTACAGTTACTCCACAAAAAATGGAACAGGATTGCCTATAGACTTCTTACATATTCTGCGTATCTGCTATTTGGTGCATGCTTAAGCAAAACTTAAGCTATCATAGTTCATGGCATTGCTTTTAAATTCCAGTTTTCAGCTTTGAATAAAACAACACTGACTGCGTATATAAAACTAAAACAACAAAACCAAACAAAAAACAAAAAACCAAGCAGTTCCACTTATTTCCTCTGAAGATAGAGAATGTCTTTCAGGCACTATCATACCAGGTGCAATATTTGCAATATTCACAAATGCCATCACTAACCAAAGACACTGAAATGTTGGGGGCCTTGTAAAGGAAGCTCAGCAGTATAACAGTACATATAAGCTGTCTATGGAAGTCACTGAAATAACCTTAATGATTGTAGCAGGGGTTTTGATAACGTGAAATTTAAATGTTTCTTTACTAAACACGTAACCATGTGAATCAAACTTCATGAAGCTTGACAGTGCCATCACCAGTTAGCAGTGTCACTCTCCTCAAACAGAGCTGTGACAGTATCCAATAAGGGCAGCAAGAAAAGGAAAGAATGGAAACATGAAATCAAAGCAGCTCGATCACTTATCAGACGCTTTGCAGAAGCACAAAAGAAAGTGAGGAAGTTAAGAAAGGCACTTTTATAATGAACTGTTCTCTTCGACAGCAGTGACCAGTGAAGGCAGAATTCCCATTTATCGAGAATAAAACTTAGCATGCACTGAATGAAAACCATGCGCCGAATAAAAAAGTAGGAGAATGAATACTGAACCGTGCTTTAAAACTCTTCTTCAGTTTTGACATCTTGGAGTGATAAAAATTCAAAGAAAATGTTTATTAGCATAAGTTCAATTGAAATCTGGGGCTTTCAGAGAGCCAGATTCAGGAAAATGGTTTGATGCGTACTTTAAATACTCTGCAGGGCACATGGAGACAGATGGACATTTCTATTTCTAGCCAGTGGCAAATAAATCAGTGATAGAACAAAGAGGATACAGTGTGACAAAGCAGTGCTGCCTCAGTATCTGAATAAAAACGCAATTCCTCTGCTTTCTGTCACCTTTTAGACTTCCGCTCCTTCAAACCAAGCCCTCACAACGATTTGTGTTCCTGGCAGCACGTTTTTCTTGTGCTACATATGCGGTACCAGACTGCCTACCAGTGTGCTGTACGGGTCAGCAGGGATAGATAACGCGTTCAGATACGCAGCTCAGCTAAGTCTCTTTTTACCACACACATTTGTGTTCAATGATGATAAGAAAATCCTTCCTCCAGCCCTGCTGAAAAGGAATTTAGACTGATCACCGTCTGAGCACATCAGATTTGCAGCCATTCATTTTTGGTAGGCACAATGGATAAGAAAGGATTTTAATAAAGAAATAGCTGAAGATGAGTTGATTTTGCAGAAATTTCTTCTGTGAAAGGCAGCCCTGGGAAAAGCAGTAAGTGTTAATCTGAACAATACAGTTAGGTGGTGGCAGGGGCTCGTAACACAGACTGAAGGCAGGAATCAGCTCACAGCCGATAGCACATCCTGCTAACAACAGGCAGGTGGGCTTGTTTACTAGGACACATGGCCCTGTGTGTTTTGCCCTGATGTATTATCCAGATGGAAATTGCAAAAGTTGGATTAAAGAAGATTTTTCTTCTTAATGATTAGCTTAGCATAATTTTCACGATCTTATACACGTTTTGAGTTGAAATAAAAAAGTGACTAATCAAATGCCAAGTAACAAATGCTTGGCATTTACTACTTAGCAAAGGCATTTGAGAGTGTTGATAATAAGGAGAAGCCTAGCGGATTCATTTTTCTTTATGACTCTTCAGCAGGACTCCTCAAAAGAGATTCTGGCATCTACAAATCACATGTTAAAAATAACTTCAACCCTGTGCAATTATGTAATTACTATTACACAAGAAAAACTGTAAGAGACTGTAAAGAAGTTATTCTCTTGTACTGCTCAGAAAGCTTTCTAAAACCCTCAATGACTTACATAATCACTGCACACACAAGAGGGTTTTCTTCTCCACAGCAGTCCCAAGGATACAGAGAACACTGCTGGCTGGGGTACGTGAAGAGAGGATGGACTGCCAACCTCACATTCCAACTTGCAAACAGATGACCTTTATGGTCAGGAGCACAGTTGGGTTGCAGACTGTAATGTCAACTTGACCTTTGCTGTTTTAAAATCACATGCCAGGGAAAAAAAGCAGAACTACAACAGATTCATAACGATCTGCCTAATGACATTTCCTGTAGATAAATATTTTCTGAAGTACACAATGACAGGGTGCTACAGCTCCTAGGGAAACATGACATCAAGTGACACTTTGTAGAGCAGTCAACACCTGTGTGGTGATGTGATGCAGGAAAAATGGAGCCAAGGTACCGCATGCAGGTTCTGTTATGGACTGCAGCATCAATAAATTACACCATCAACAGCTGTCCAGAAAACCATAGAACCATCAGCCAGAATGGCCTCAGAAGAACAATTATTCATGAACGTACTAAATCTAACTACAGACATACTATGTATCAGTTAAAAAAAGGAAGAAAATTAATGTAAGTAGGAATGCTTTCAATTGACAGGATTACACAGCAAGTGCCATAAAGCAAATCGATTAAAACTGAAATCTGTTTTAAAAAAACATTTAGCAAGAATGTAATTACTTGTCAGCACTAAGGATTAAATGATGGTTCAAGGCTGCATGGTGACTCTTACCCCTCCTGTGCCTTACACAAGGACGGCACTTTTGGAAATCACGGCAGATCTGCTGGGCAGTTCTTGTCCAGGTGCTGGCCCAGCTGTAGTGCAGAGGCAGCAGGGATGCATGCCATCCACTTTATGCTATGAATCCTAATTGCGTTCTCCCAACAAATGGTAGAGCACCACAAAAAGTCTGGCACCAGAGCACATTTTAAAACCGATATTTGGAGAAAAAGGAGGAGGGAATGGTGATGGGAGGGAATGAGGAATGGAGGAGAGGATGTCCTTTAGTTAATTCTTCAGTATTGCAGATAAAGACATTGGCACATCAGGACCCTGATTAAAAAGCAGTCTTCTTGGAAGTAAAATGGTATTCTGATTAATAAATCTTATAGATGAAGGAAATTGCCGAGTTTGCCACAGCTCAGTCGCAGACTCGCTGGCACAGATGAACAGGAGCTGAGTTTCCTACTTGTTTCTTAGCTGCAAAACCATATGCTTGCTGGTGCCTTAAGGCAACCCAAAGAGACGAGAGAGAATCATAAGAAATATGTCTTATCATCTCTGCAAGGTCTTGAAGGGTGGGGGAAATGCACCTCGTGACTCAGCTGCACCTTGGAAAACATGACGTCAGTAACGTTTCTCCTGATGCAGTGGTTCGGATGGAACCCAAAGCTAAAGTGCCTAATTCCTCCTGACGGTGGATATTACTTGGTAATCCAATGCTTTATTCATAGGGGCTTGAGGGATTAAGGGAGAATTTAAAATACTGCAGTGAGACAGATATTTTTTCATATGCTACAAAGAGGTAAAACACAGCCTCACTTAGTTGTTTTTATTATATTCTAAGTGTTTGAAGGCTAAAAAAAGACCTTAATTTTTTTTTATGGTGCCACTATAGAACATCTCAACTGCAGTGATAACAAGATATCAGGTAGAAAGGTTTCAAAGATTTTTATGATTATAATTATGCCCAGAAGTGCACTAGAGACATCACAGATCAAAAGAGATGTTCCT